TGCGGGAGCAAAACAGCATCCAATAGCCTTAAAATGTCCTGTCCATATTTAATAGGAGTGGTGAGCAAACCACACTCCATCCACACACACCCCCCCCCAATTTACTGTCTGTAAATATATTAACCGCACCGTCTGACTTTTCCAAAGCCCTCGTCAAGACAATGAGTTCAGCTTTCTGAGCTGAAGTACCTGCAGGGAGAGCTGCTGCTTCCACTACCTGATGCTAACAAGTCCTGGATGGAATGAGGCGTTTCCACTGTGATAGGAGCCCCAAAAGTTAATTGTTCAGCAGCCTCCAAAAGGGCTGAGGGTAGCAACTTCTGAGTGGTCAGCCAGGACGTCCAGTGGAATGAGGCTGCTTTGATGGACCAGTTCCAGGAAGTTCTCTCCTCAGAGCTGCTGGACGAGTTGGCCCGCACCGACTGCTCCCTGATACTCCAGAACCTGTTGCATCTGTGCTTGCACATAGATGCTCTGTTGCAGCAGTGCAGGGTAAGGCGACAGACCACTGGCTCGCCAGTGCTGCCTAAGAAGCCAGAGGCTCCTGATACTCCGGAGGAGCCCATGCAGCTTGCGGCCGCTCGTCTGCACCTCACCCAGGCCGAGAAGGAGAGCAGTAAAGGACTCTCTAAAGGCCTGCCTTGCCTTGACCACCTGGGTCATAACACATATCTTTAAAATTTAGCAAAGTAATGAGGATCATGAGGACCACATTGTTAGGTTTGGGTAATAAGATACTATTGTATACAGCAGTGAAGATAACATTTCAAATGAAAATTGAGAAAAAAGTTTGCATTTTGAATAGTATGGAATTATCATGGAACCACATAAAACATCCTTTTATTCTTGATTTATGTTGATTTATAAAATGTGCTGCAATCATATTGTGGACTTTTTAATAGAAGTATTTTGGAGTGAATTCTTAAATCACTGGAAAAAATGTAGTTGCTTTATTATAATTAAAACTGGACTGGTCATTGACCATAATAAAGATCCTTGTATTACAATTCAAATAACCATACCAACCTATTATCTGCATAGAGACACACACTTACTCAATTGGGAGTTTTCTACCTAGTCATTTAATAGACTGATTGGCTTTTGAGGAGTGCATGCATTCTTCTTATGAGTGCTCTGAAAAATGTGTCTCCTTGTTGCATCTTGGTAGATATGGAAGAACAATTTTACCATTTCCACATGAGTTTGGGTTAGATGAGTTCTCAAACTTGACTGTTTTTAAATTTCACTTTTCTGATGTCACACTGTTCCATCTTTGTTCTTTCTCCTATGCAGGGAAACTGCGCTGCTGATTGATCCCAAAAACTCTTGTTCTTCATCTCGCCAGTGGGTAGCCCTTGTTGTGGGCCATGAACTTGCTCACCAGTGGTTTGGAAACCTTGTAACTATGGTATTTAAGAAGTATATTTACGTCAAAATTACTCAAATTATAGCTAAATCCACTTCTATAGTCCTGGGTATCATTAATCATTATTGTTGGCAGCTCCCTATATTTGCTACTGAGGGTGGGCATATTTGCATTTGTATAGATAGTATTGTAGGCAGACACATGTCATGTTATGTCAGCTGAAAAACCAGGCCTGAAGAGATGGAGACATTAGGGTAGATTAGATAGTGAATGTTACACAGAGTATCCCCAGTAAAATCAGGATGAAATCTGAGGTCAGTATTAATTTGTCTGGATGTATCAACTTTAGTGTTTATTTTGTATTCATCCTGGCTGCTGTGGGGAGGCTGGGAGTTATCCACCCCAGCTAAATCCAAGTATCCACTCAGGATAATTTTCTATTTATGATAGCTATCCCAGTAATGCATTACTAATCAGCTGGGCATTTTTAATACATCTGATCTCTTTTAATAGACATACCTCTGTTTGTGGTCAAATTTGCTACAGGCTTTGGATTGACTTGTCCTTCTTTTATAGTTGGAGCGAGTCATTTTTTATTCCTTATGGAGGAGACTAGTTTGGTGCAACTCAAAGCACTCCTTCACATTGTTCCATCAAAATAAAAATATTTGCACAAATAAAGTTGCAGATTAGTACGAGTTAGTTTTTAATCCCATTTGTGTATATTTTTCATACTTGTATTTCAGTCATCTGGAGAAGAGGGGTTATGAAGGAAACTGATGCTTTATCCAGCTTCTGTGGTGATCCACTCTTCACTGCCCACACGGGCTTTATTGCTGTATCTGTAAAGTAGTTTTGTGGGGGAAACTAAGTTACAGGTAATCCCCGAGATACTCACTTAATGCTCGTTCAAAGTTACGTGATGAGCGCCCCCTAGTGCTTACGAGCAAGTCCCAAAGTTACGAATATTGCAGCACCACGGCAGTTATTCGCCCTTATGAGCGACCGCAGTGGCTCTGCAACATTCACTCTGGTTATTCCATCCCTCCCCACCCCTGCCCCGGGTGTCCCTAGGCACCAGGCCTTCAATACTCACCCTGCGAAGATCGAGTTCCTTCGCTTTCTTGGCTGCTCCAGGCCTTCAGTGCGTTTGCAGAGAATGGAGAACTAAAGTAACGCAAGATCACGTGAGATCAGTGGGGCGAGATCTCATGCTACTGATCTTGCGTGATCTCATGGTACTTTAGGCCTCTGTTCTCTGCAACAGAGAATGGAACTGAAGCTGGTGGATGCTTCCACATGCCTCAGAGGCCTTTTCCAGGCCGCTGCCGCCCGGATCTGAGGCCGGAGAATGCTTCCATGCCCCCCCCACGGCCCGATCCAGGCTCCGGGGGCCTTTTCTAGGCTGCTGCTGCCCGGATCTAAGGCCGGGGAACACTTCCACGCCCCTTCTGTGGCCCGATCCGGGCTCCGGAGGCCTTTTCCAGGCTGCTGCCGCCTGGAATTGAGGCCGGGGAATGCTTCTGTGCCCCCTCTGTGGCCTGATCCAGGCTCCAGAGGCCTTTTCCAGGCTGCTGCTGCCCGGAGGCAGGGGAACGCTTGCGCATCCCCCCACGGCCCAATCAGGGCTCTGGAGGCCTTTTCCAGGCCCAATCGGGCTGTGGGGGGGCTGCAGAAGCCTTCGCCGGCCTCAGATCCAGGCAGCAGCAGCCTGGAAAAGGCCTCTGGAGCCCGGATTGGGCCGCGGTGGGGCGTGGAAGCGTTCCCCGGCCTTAGATCTGGGTGGCAGCAGTAACCACAGCAGAGAGGAGACAGATCTTTTCCAGGTGAGTCCAGCGCGGCAGGAAGGGAGGGGGAAGCATGCGGTATCTTAGTGGGTCAGGGAGGCCTTGGGGGCCTGTTCCATCAATAGGCCCTCCATGGCCTTCCCCACCCTGAGATACCTCATGTTCGCTTAACGAGCCGTGTGCGTTTTAACGAGCAAGAGAGTAATCTCATTCGATGTACGAGATTCACTCTACGAGTTTTCAAATTATAAGTGTAATGGGTAGGCTCCATTACACTCGTAACTCAGGGACTACCTGTACTTTCCTTTTATGGTATTCAGATGAAATCACTGATGCAGGACTGATTATAGATAATTCAATAAATACTAGTAACTTGTGAAATAGATGCTTATTGATAAATTTCATAGTGCTTTGGGGATGCTCACTGTGTACTGCTTAAGAGATTTAATGTTTTACTTGAGCTTCCTCAGTCCCACAGTCCCTTTGACACATACAAGATTGGAAATAATTTGTGAAAATAGAATAGACATCTTTCCATAGCATTTGTTTTTCGGGGATTTTGCCTGCTGTATTGCCTGCTGTTACTGATAAGGCCAACTTTCCTAAGCTGTCACATACTTTCCAGGTACTACAGTAGTGTAGTCATTGTTGAAATGGAAAAGTATTGGGGGGATTTCCACTGACATCTGCTGAAGCTAGACCCAGGGAAACGATTCTCCGTCCCCTGGGTCCGATATTCTTCTGCTGGTGGGTCCGTTTGGGCCAAATGCCACCCCGGAGAGGTGGCTACTGAAGGGTGAACCTTTGAGGAACGTGGGCCGGGGGCAGCTGGCCCGCTGAACTCAAAGCAGCCCCTGGAATCAACGGAAGAAAGGTGGACTGCATTCATGCGAGCCGCCATTAACAGCTGATCGTCGGAGACGAAGAAACAGCTGAATCTGACAGCAAGCAGCTGAGCCGGGTGAGAAAATGCTCTTCTTTCCTGCTGATGGTGGATTTGACTTGAGATAGCCTGTCTTTACTTGGAGCGTGAAGCTAAGGGAGGAGGTGGAGTTTTTTCTTTCCCCCCCTCCCGTACAAGCGGCTGTTTAAGCTGTTTCTTAAAAAGTAAAAATAAACTTTTACTACAGTAAAGCCTTTTAAGCTCTAATCGATTTGGGAAGCTTGCTCTTTTTTTTCTTGAAGATACTTTTTTTTTCTAACTTGGAAAAGCCATTCTAACTATGCATTTGCTACTAAAACTTTAGATTTTTTTTTCTTTCTTCACTTTGAATAGTCTTTTTTTTTCACTTAAGCGGCTGGAAGAGTTACATTGTATCTCCTGTGGTCACATGGGAAAGCTTTTTTCCCTCTTTCCTTTGTCTGATGTATATTCAGATTAGGAACTTGGCTCCATGCCCAGACACTTGGCTGAACACCCAGACATTCTTATCTGACCTTGAGACTAGCTTAAAGAGATTTTTGTTTTGGGGTTTTTTTCTTTTGTTTTGCTCTGGCTGTGGCTGTACAACATAGACTTTTCCCAAGAAGAACTGAATAATAAGGAACTCTGGTTTTTTTTGCCTTCTTCCCTGTTGTTGAACAAAATTTGGTGGATTACAAATTGGATACTTTTCTACAGTTTTTTTTTCTTTCTTCTGGCCTACTACCTTTTTCTCCTTTTTTGCTTCCTCTTTTTTTTCCTTTTGGGACTTCTTTTTTTTTTTTTAATATCTTGCTAGTGGGAGTGTTTTTTGCCTCTCCCTATTTTTTCTACTACTACTGATTTTGTTCTCCTCTGGTTGGCCTTTATTTTTCTTGGATGTTTTTTTGTGTTTTTTTTTTATCCCCCTATTGGAATTATTTTTTCTTTTTAAATTTTGTCTCATTTTCCCTCCTAGCAATAGGAGTTTTTTTTCCCTTTGGAATACAACCGGCCATCGGGCCACCTGGTGGATTATAATATAACACAGCAATTGGAAGATGGGTGCCTCAAATTTGTCCAAGTCGGGGAGGAAAGGATCCTCTGCTCCTGCTTCAACCTCGGCAAGCCCAGTGCCTCAAAAATCTATTACTACACTCCTACAACAAGAAAAAGTGGAAGTTCAACAAAAGGATATCCAGGCGATATTACAAGCAATTGCAGCCCAGGCGGCATCTTCGAATAAAAACCATGAAGACCTGAAAAAGGACCTTGATAAAAACTACGAAGATTTGAAAAATGATCTCGTTAAAATGAATCAGAAAATGGAAACCTTCCAACAGGCGATTATAGACAACCAACAAAGAATACAAAAAATAGAAGACAAGTCAGTGGAAGTTGACCAGAAATTAGAATCCTTACAAGACGAGAATCAAAGATTGGTGCAAGCAAACACAGAACTGGAAGATAGTTTAGCCGTGATTGAGATGGAAAGAGCATCATATTTCTTAAGATTCCAAAATGTAATAGAAGATAAGGATGAGAATTTGTCAGATTTGATGACTGAGCTACTTGCAGAGCTACTTGGAATGGAAAAGCCCCAAATGAATGGAGAAATAGATCACGTCTTTAGAGTCAATTCAAGCTATGCCAGAAGAAACAGAGTTCCTAGGGAAGTCCACGTAAGATTCCTTAAAAGATCTACATGAAACGAGATTTTGAAGAGACCAACCACTAAAATACAAAGAAAAAGAATTAGTAGTGCTTAAACAAATTCCTAGAAGGATAAGAGAAGCTCGAAGAGATTACCAATTCTTAACAAGGAAATTGTTCAACAAAGGAGTGAATTTTACATGGTTGGTTCCAGAAGGGTTATTAATTTTTTGGTATTCCAAAAGATATAGATTGGATACCCCACTCAAAGCAGAGGAATTTTTCAACAACCACAGAGCTTTTTTTGGAAAAAGGTGATTCCGAACCTAAGAAACAAGAGGAAGCGAGCGCTGTAGGAGCATCTAAACAAGTGGAGGAGGAAGAACTTAAAAAGACCTATCCAGAGGAAGGAGCAAGACTGAGAGACCAGAGGCAGATAACTTCCCCTAGAAGATTGAGGTCCAGATATAATTGAAGCCATGGAGGAGGTTGGAATTTTTTCAATAAATATAAATGGTTTGAATTCTCCCTCAAAGAGGAGAAAAACGTTTACTAGACTACAAAAGTTAAAAATGGACATAATTTGTCTCCAAGAGACACACATCAAGAGACAACATTCTAGAATCTTAGAACAACCAAAAATGGGTAAGCTTTACTTTTCCCTGGCACTTCAAAAGAAAAGAGGTATAGCTCTTTATATA